CCTCCTCAGGGTGCCGTCGGCCAAGCAGTGTCGGCTGGCGACCCCCAGGGGGAGGGCCTTCTCTGTGGGTGCCCCCACCCTCTGGAACGAACTACCCCCCGAGATCCGGACGATTCCGGATCTCCTATCTTTTCGCCGCGCCCTCAAGACATGGCTTTTTCAGCAAGCGGGTCTGGCCTAGGGAGAATTTTAAATAGGGGCAATTTTAATCAGAATTTTAATTAACACAGCGTTAAATATTTGTTTTTAATTGGCTTTTATTGGGGAAAATGTTTGTGTTGTTTTAATATGCTGTGAGCCGCCCTGAGTCCTGTTGGGAGAAGGGCGGCATATAAGTCTAAATAAATAAATAAATAAATAAATTTATTTATTCATTTATTTATTTCATTTTATTTGCTGCCCATCTTGCCGTGGGGCTATTCTGGGTGGCTTACAATAATAAAACAGAAAAAAATGATAAATGTAAAAATAATAAGTAAAGGAATAAAACAATAAAAATAAACACATTGATATAAATATGTTGACTATTCATAACCAATAATATGCTAAACCAGCTTTTGAGTCCAATATCTAAGAAACAAATTAGTATGTAATAATCTGGGAACTAATTATTTCGATTTGCAATACTGTCCTGCTTTATAAAAAGCATTTTCAATATTAGAATTCTTTCTAAATACCATTTCTATTGTAAGATGATGTGGTTGTAAAGCAAGTCATCAAGAGCCTGGACCTGATTTTACAACCATTTTTTACTGTGCTTGTTAAGTGAATCACTGTGGTTGTTAGGCTAATCACTGTGGTTGTTGGACTAATCACATGGTTGTTGGACTAATCACATGGTTGTTAAGTGAATCCAACTTCCCCAATTGATGTTTTTTTGTCAGAAATCAGTTTTGAAGGTTGCAAACCATGATCACGTGATCACAGGACTCTGCAAATGCAAGCCAGTTGCCAAGCGTACAATTTGTGATCGTGTGAACATGGGGATAGTGCAACCACCATAAATGTGAAGACGGGTTGTAATCACTTTTTGTAAATTTGAACTATTGTTAAGCAAATGGTTTTAAGCTGAGGACTACCTGTAAACGTTTTTGTATATTGAAAATGGTTGGGTCTTGTTTTCTTTTCCTTTTTATAGATCCGTACGTAATTGAAATACTAAAACCTTCACGAGTAGCCTGGCAAGAAGATCCCCGTTTTGAAGATAGTAGTTCCGAAGACGAAGAATTAGAAGCAGCTGAAGTACAAGATGTCAAAGAAAGGTAAATTATACTTTTGCAGTATTCATTGAACTTTAGATAGGATAGACCTCAAATTTAACATAGTGGGCCAGGTTGCGCATTCTCTGAGATGATATGTCAAATATGTTTTTCCCAAATGAAGCCACTTATCTATATTGTGTACTGTAGTTTCACCAGCAGCAGGCAGAAAGCCTTAAACTAATGTTATGTGATTTTCCCCTCCCATTGCATTTCCCATCATTCCCCATGCTTTCCCTAAAGACTATGTGGGACTGCACAAGAAGGACACAATGAGGCAGGAAATTCCAGTTTCTGTGTGATCTTGTATCCCTCACAATGTGTGAATAAATTGCTAAAATATCCACCTTATAAATTCAGTCAATCAGCCTTACCCTCGGGGTCTTCCTCTTGAAAAAAAAACAATATGACTATTTCCTTATTATTTCCGAGAGTTAGACTTGCCCAGATTCTTAATGCAAACAAAAACAAGACACTAAATAGTTTGTTCATGTAATTCATCTCCGAAATAAAAAGATATGCTTCTTCCTCGAAATGAATGTATTGCTCAGGCTTGGAAAAAGTAGTCTTTTTCTCTTTGTTTTGGAAATTAATACTCTTGTTCCTTTTTCAGTTCTCCAGCTGAACCACATTCAAATATTAGATTTTTCTTCTTCTCACAAGATGATGACAGATTAAAAGGTGAAAATCAGAAAAATTCTCCTTAATTATTTTAGTTACCAGCATACTTATTCTTCAGATTTATTTTTAAGATGTAAACATCAAATTTATTTCAAGTCAGAGTTCTCACTCTAAGTTTTGTTTGTTGTGCATTCACGATACATAATTTCTGTAAGTTTTTCTACATTTTTGGAGAGTTTTAACATTGGAGTTCAGGTTGCTGTGGATAACGTTATCTATTTTAATTGCTAAAGAAGTCTCCTTTAAAAATTATTTAAATTGATGTCATTTTAAGAAACTTCTATCTGGAACAGTGGTTGCAATTGCCCAGAAAACCAGTATTCTGTGATTTTTTTANATTTCGTATGGATGCTCATTTCCTTGAAAGTGACAGTGATCAGGAAGGTTAGATATATAGTATTTTGCTGATTGCTAATAGAATGCTTGTAAGACTTCGTTATAGTAAACTTTTTTCTATAATTTTTTGAATATTTGTTTCCTAGTAATTCCTCTGCATGGATCAAAAGATCCTTTAAAAACATTTTACATATGACCTAAGGTATAGAGTAGAACATACACCCTTTTCAAGGTTAAATATGTTTCCCTTGAAAAATAAAAAAAAACCCAACCCACTAAGTATATTAGTATATTTACATCTATACTTTTCATACTTTGTACATAACAGAGACTAACTCAAAATATAAAAAGATATTTCACAGAATCTCTTAGAAATATCTTCCACTGTAAACTGGTAGTAATGAAAAATGCTTAAAAGTGGATATGTGTCTAATTATATGTGTTAGGCTATAGAATTTTAGAAGGTGGCCTGACACCTTCTAGTTGTTTGGGGGCTATATCTTCTGTATTGCATTACTATTGGCATAGAGATATTACTATATCTCTGGAGAGCCAGCGGTTAAGGTCCGGGTCTAGAAACTAAGATACAATGAATTCTAGTCCTACCTTAGGCATGAAAGCCAGCTGTGTGTGACTTTGAGCCAATCACTCTCTCTTAGCCCAACCTACCTTACAGGGTCTTTATTGTGTGGGGGAAATAGGAAGAAGAGGAAGGGATATTAGGTATGTTTGCCACCTTGAGTTTTACTATGTATGTATAATAAATAGGTGGGATAAAAATCTAATAACCATAGTAATAATGATATATAGACAATGGATAATGATTCTTGAGGACCTATCTTTGATTTGAAAATTAGAAATAGGCACCTTAAATTAAACCTAACCAAACTATGAAGAAAATATATCCAGAGGGGGGAAATTGGTTTGGATGTAACAAATTTGATTTCTTCATTGTACAAAATAGTTGCAGTGAGAATCAGACTTCCATGCATTCATTCTCCTTTCTTAAGCATAGATAATGGGGAAGTTGAAGCTAACCTTAAAGAAAATACTTTTGGACAATGAAATATAGTTTAATTAACATAGATAAATTTGGAGCTGTTTATGTCTGAATCTGCTTTGCATTCAGATTCATAAGGAAATACATTGTCCTGACACAGCCAGTTTGTTAAACCTGGGCAGTGACTGAATCTATTAATTTAAACTTAAAAGCAAGCCACAATTGACACAAATTTGGTTGCAAATCAGTTTCAATCTATTCTGTATTTTAATAAGTAATCCTTCAAGTTGAGCTTGGTTCAAGGTGATCAAATTCTAATTGTTGTTTTGGTCATAGATCAATATAAATAACAGCAATAATAATTACAACTATTTCAGGAGTAATACTGAAACCAGTGAGATAATAAAAAAATACCTAAAATCTAGAATTACCAACCCAATACCATAATATAAAAGCACTAAGTTCTTTTAACATACAGGACTATAATTTTTTGGTCTTTGATCCAAGTACTCTGTCTTACACAACTTTTGAGCTAGTTCAGAGTCGTGTGTTAAAATAATGTACGATTCGATGTAATGGTTGAATGCAATTGGTATTGGTTCTGTGAAGTCAGTAACTAACTCCGTTCTATTTTTTTCCTGTTAGAGGAATCAAAGAAATCGGTAACAGAGGAAGAAGAGGAACTTTCTTTAGAAAAGAAGAAGAATCTTGAGATCTTGAAAACTCTTCTACATATTGATGTAGACCCTCCCAAACGTAGGAAGCTAGCTGCAGAAAGCCAGAAATTCAGGTATGAAAATTACTTTAGTAGAAAAACTAAGGGCAAATTTATATTTGTATAAATTATTATTTTCATAGTACTCCCCCAAGTTGAACACTAATTAATCTAGCATTGCAGGCAAGCTTTGATAGATACTGAAACTGTGGATCTAACTGGGATGTCAAACTGGTGGCCCACAGGCCAGATGCGTCACATGCAGGCCACTCCCACCCCAGCTCCGCAAAGGCAAAAAACATCACAATACGTCACAATACGTCAAGTGACGCGATCGAGTTTGACATCTGTGATCTAAGATGATGAAATGTAAAGCATTTAACCCTGATTTGAGCTTATTTATTATTTTAATACTGTAAGATTTTAGACTGTTAAACCATCCCAATTCCTCCTGACATAGGGAAGCATAGAAACATTGGCATAAATAATTAAATAATTGCAATCCTTTCTAATAATATAATCACTCATGTAAAAGCTAATTATTTCTTGACACATAGAAAAATACATCTTTAGCTGATTGTGAGCAAAGATAGCATAAGGTTGCTAATTAAGTCTACAATCCTACACCCATTTTTCTCAGATTAAGTCCATTCAACTCAATGGGATTACTTCTAAGTAGAAATATAGACTGTTACGTAGATTTTTTTCAAAATTATTTGACATTTTATTGATTTATATATAGTTTGCACTTCAGCATATTTAGAAATGTTGTCATAGAATGAAAATTTTTATCCCATGGAATTTTTATGGTATCTAGATTTACGTAAGGATGCTTTACTATTATTATATTATTATTATCATTATCATTATATTATTGTAGTTATTATTATTATTATTAAAATATTATTTACTTATAGAGATATGAATACCTTACGCTATGACCCTACAAGGCAAGATCATGCAGTATTTGAAAAAAAGCCAGCTAATACTGAAAAAGAGAGGTAATGATTCTGAACTATGCCTGTCTTTTCATTGACCTGTTTACTATTTCAACTCTGATTGTTTAGAGTCAAATATTTATTTTATGCAGCAAATGAATAAAACATTTCAGTTTTTAATTAAGAATTGGAATGAAAGAAAGAGAAAAATATTTACTTTAGAGGGGTTTCAGAGGGAAGTTGCAATATTTAAATGTCTCTTAATTGTCAAGACTTCTGATGGATTTCTTTTTTAGAAGAAACATTGGTCATCCATCAGATGTTGAAATTAAATGTTATGCTTTTGCTGAATTGGATTATAAACCAATACAAGTATTTTACTATGTGAAAAAATAACCCAAGTTAGGGTTATTGTGTTATACTTTACTGGGATTTATATATTGAATGCATTAACAAAACAGATTGTGGAAGCATCTGAATTTATATTTCTTTGGTGTAAGCATGTGATATAAATTACTAGTATAAAATTATATATTTGATCAGTTAAATATTAGCAATTAACACATCCTTATTTCCGTCAAATAGTAAAGCTAAAAAGAAGAAGAAGAAAGAAGAAGCTCAGAAACTGCCTGAGGTGTCTAAAGATACATTTTACAATGTCGCCGTGGACTTAAAAGAAGCACTTGGATCTACAAAACAGGATGAAAAAACAGAAATAATATCATGGGACCAGCATGATGATGCTGAACAAACCCCTTCAACTGATATACCAAAATTCAGTGATGAAAGACAAGATGGAAACGGGGGTTTTACCTTTTCCTTTTTTGGTGATGAAGTGGCGAGATCACCTATTAAAGAAGGTATCTTTACCTATTCTAAACCATAGTTTCAGTATCTCAAACACATGTTTTTGAATTAACACCCTTTGAGACCTGACCGCTGTGTTGCAATTTGTGTGGGTCTTTTCTTTAAAGAACAGAGTCGTTTTATTTTGATGACAGATGAATAGAAATATGTTATACCAGTTTGTACTACCTGCCCGGCTGGATTGCTAGGCTTAATGGATGGAAATGATTCATAATATTCCAGATTTGCTCACATCTAAAAGTTGCTTCTATCTTTTATTTCTACAGAACTTTTAATATTACCCAGAAATATTATAAACATACCAGGACCATCAGGAATATATGCTCAACAGCTTTTCCATGGTTTTTACAGTGGTAACAGATTGAAGCCACCAGTGTCTACATATTACCTTTCAGTATTTAAGCCTGTATTCACCCACTTTCTGTATTGGCGGCTTGGTGTAGTGATGGGGAGGGAAGAGGGGATGGTTTTGTGGGGGGGCAGGCATGTGTGCTTCATTTGTGTAAGTGGTGAGTGCACATGCCCACCGCTTACACAAGTAGGGCTGTGCACGTATATGCATGCACTGGCCTGCCACTCACACAGCCTGGTTGAGAATAGGCCATGGCCCACAGGTTGGAGACCCCTGATTTAAACCATATGACCAGTTGATTGGGAGCACAAAATGGAAGAAATAATACATTTAAATCTGGCTTGTGAATTTACCTGAGCTATCTATGAGAACATAATGTTCAACAGCCTGCCTTGTGAAATGATGAGTTCTTCACTGAAGGTTTTAGTAAGAAACTGGAAGCTCATCTGTTGGAAATAACTCAAGTCAATCCTGCACTGAGTAGAGGGTAGACTAGATGACTTCCCAGGTCACAACCAACTTTTTAATTCCAATTGGACCTGTCGGTGTGATTCAGCCCAACATCTTAGTTATTAAGGTTTATAATTTTGTTTTCTGGGCAGCTAAAAATATATATATATTTATTTATTCATTTATTTATTTCATTTTATTTGCTGCCCATCTTGCCGTGGGGCTATTCTGGATGGCTTACAATAATAAAACAGAAAAAAATGATAAATGTAAAAATAATAAGTAAAGGAATAAAACAATAAAAATAAACACATTGATATAAATATGTTGACTATTCATAACCAATAATATGCTAAACCAGCTTTTGAGTCCAATATCTAAGAAACAAATTAGTATGTAATAACCTGGGAACTAATTATTTCGATTTGCAATACTGTCCTGCTTTACAAAAAGCATTTCCAATATTAGAATTCTTTCTAAATACCATTTCTATTGTAAGATGATGTGGTTGTAAAGCAAGTCATCAAGAGCCTGGACCTGATTTTACAACCATTTTTTACTGTGCTTGTTAAGTGAATCACTGTGGTTGTTAGGCTAATCACTGTGGTTGTTGGACTAATCACATGGTTGTTGGACTAATCACATGGTTGTTAAGTGAATCCAACTTCCCCATTTGATGTTTTTTGTCAGAAATCAGTTTTGAAGGTTGCAAACCATGATCACGTGATCACAGGACTCTGCAAATGCAAGCCAGTTGCCAAGCGTACAATTTGTGATCGTGTGAACATGGGGATAGTGCAACCACCATAAATGTGAAGACGGGTTGTAATCACTTTTGGTAAATTTGAACTATTGTTAAGCAAATGGTTTTAAGCTGAGGACTACCTGTAAACGTTTTTGTATATTGAAAATGGTTGGGTCTTGTTTTCTTTTCCTTTTTATAGATCCGTACGTAATTGAAATACTAAAACCTTCACGAGTAGCCTGGCAAGAAGATCCCCGTTTTGAAGATAGTAGTTCCGAAGATGAAGAATTAGAAGCAGCTGAAGTAAAAGATGTCAAAGAAAGGTAAATTATACTTTTGCAGTATTCATTGAACTTTAGATAGGATAGACCTCAAATTTAACATAGTGGGCCAGGTTGCGCATTCTCTGAGATGATATGTCAAATATGTTTTTCCCAAATGAAGCCACTTATCTATATTGTGTACTGTAGTTTCACCAGCAGCAGGCAGAAAGCCTTAAACTAATGTTATGTGATTTTCCCCTCCCATTGCATTTCCCATCATTCCCCATGCTTTCCCTAAAGACTATGTGGGACTGCACAAGAAGGACACAATGAGGCAGGAAATTCCAGTTTCTGTGTGATCTTGTATCCCTCACAATGTGTGAATAAATTGCTAAAATATCCACCTTATAAATTCAGTCAATCAGCCTTACCCTCGGGGTCTTCCTCTTGAAAAAAAACCAATATGACTATTTCCTTATTATTTCCGAGAGTTAGACTTGCCCAGATTCTTAATGCAAACAAATACAAGACACTAAATAGTTTGTTCATGTAATTCATCTCCGAAATAAAAAGATATGCTTCTTCCTCGAAATGAATGTATTGCTCAGGCTTGGAAAAAGTAGTCTTTTTCTCTTTGTTTTGGAAATTAATACTCTTGTTCCTTTTTCAGTTCTCCAGCTGAACCACATTCAAATATTAGATTTTTCTTCTTCTCACAAGATGATGACAGATTAAAAGGTGAAAATCAGAAAAATTCTCCTTAATTATTTTAGTTACCAGCATACTTATTCTTCAGATTTATTTTTAAGATGTAAACATCAAATTTATTTCAAGTCAGAGTTCTCACTCTAAGTTTTGTTTGTTGTGCGTTCACAATACATAATTTCTGTAAGTTTTTCTACATTTTTGGAGAGTTTTAACATTGGAGTTCAGGTTGCTGTGGATAACGTTATCTATTTTAATTGCTAAAGAAGTCTCCTTTAAAAATTATTTAAATTGATGTCATTTTAAGAAACTTCTATCTGGAACAGTGGTTGCAATTGCCCAGAAAACCAGTATTCTGTGATTTTTTTA